CAGAGGAAGCGACGCCATTTCCACACAGAGCAGGAGTGAAATTCAAACTCCAGTACTCTGCGAACTGGAAGGAAGGGGGCGATGAAGTGGCTGAGAAGAATATTGCATTGACGAGAAGATTGTATGAAGCGATGACGCCTTATGTGTCGAAGAATCCGAGAGAGGCGTTCCTCAATTACAGGGACATCGACGTGGGGAGCACCGCCCATTGGAGCATTGAGGAAGGTAGGATTTATGGGGCGATGTATTTCAAGGGGAATTTTGAGAGATTGGTGAGCGTGAAGACGAAGGTTGATCCTGGAAATTTCTTCAGGAATGAACAGAGTATCCCTACTCGTTGATCTTGTAAATGAATGTCTAATAAAATATATCTTGTGCTTCTTATTATGATTTTGTTACGTATTTGAGCAAATGAGTTTGCTTGATACATAGCTTTGAATTCCTATTGCTGCAATTTGTGTTACTAATCAATGGAAAACCTTATCATTGGATGTTAATTTGCAATATTTAACCACTTCTTTTTAAGTATGGTGAGGATCGAATCATAATCTGTGTTTGGTCCATTAAACTATACGTTCGAATTGACGTTAAACAAAGTCGAGATAATTGGCTTCAAACCCCATTTCCACCGCCAAGGACACAACACTTCTTGAATTGCCAACACTTCGGACCATATAGACTTACCACAATGGGGAAGGAATTTATCTATCACTAGTAACATACGATCATTGTCAGCATAAAAAATAACAACTCCCAAACTAGTGCTTAAAGAAGCCAAAAGAAAAGAGACGATACGATTGTATTCTCCTTGTAATACCCTACCAAAAAAGGTTGCCATTTGCAAGAGGGACGAGGACTCGAAGACGTAAATTGAAGGGAATTCGTTGACATATAGGTGATGGTATAATTCTCAATCTAGCTACCCAAAAACCACACATGAATTTATTGATACATTAAACTATGTCCGAATTGGTGCTATAAAAAAAGCAAAAAAAAAATTATAAAAGGGAGATGATTTCCCAACTCCATGTGAATGTTTTTTCTTCTCTCAATATGTGTTTGCAAATATAGTTGGGTCACATTGATGGAGTGGATAATTTTATTCATTAATTTTTAATTAGGTAACATATTAGATATCAATTATTTCAAAGTTTACCATTAAATATATTAATTATAATATTTTTATAACACAAAATTGTACGAATAGTTTTATATTTTTGTATTGAAAACAATAGTTTTGTATTCTTCATGCATCAAAATATTTTTCTAACGTACATTTCCTAAAAGATATGTATTACAATAATAATAAAAATGTGTAGACTAGTTGCTTACATTTCTTCTTAAAAAAAAATGGTATCTTTTACTCTACGTTTCTACCTTTGAGAAATATAAATAAAAACGTCACAAAGCTATATAATCTAATATAAATATCTAATTCAATATGAATATAGCTAAGCCATAAGAGTATTTATTTATTTTTCTAACATTGAAGATTCAAATCGTGATGCCACTGTATTTTTTTGAGTACAACATATTGGAGAGGGGATTCGAACTCACAACCTCTTGATTAGAGGTATATGCCAATTACTGTTGATGGCCACTATATTAGTCGTACTACAAAAT